TTGCAACCCCCCTTGTCAGAAATTCCAACATATCATTGGAAGTTGGTGTGTACGTAATGGATATGAAAGAGGTAAAGAATATCATTCCACAAACAAGCTGTCCAACACATCGAGGCTTGAATTTTTTTAATTCTTCATCTTCATCATTGTAGTTACTCTTAAACCAGTCATCCAGTCTCACACCGAACAAAGCTTCAATGAAATCATTGACAAGAACAGGATGAGAAAATTGATTGTGTTTGGGTCTTTCGCTTATTGTTTTCTTGATGCAAGTTTCCATAGCTAGCATAAGTATGAGGCGTGCCACTAATTCTCCACGATATCCTCCTTCAATCCAACCGTTTCGTATAGCTGAAATAAGTTTTTCAAGTAACGAGACTAGGGATATGTTGTAGAAATGAATGATCTGAGCTGATGCTTCCGCCAATATTGGTTCTACAGGAAACATTGTGATAAGAGAGCGCCGATCCAATGAGATAAATGCACAAGTACGCATGTGACTGGCAACCAGTTCAGAGGCAAGATAACATTGTGGTGCAACATCAAGCCCAATACGTGGTCCCAGAATTGCAACTGCAAGTTTTTCATCCAGGTTTTCCTTATCAGTCACCGAACATTTCACAAAATCCGATGGGGAAGTGTATTAGCATCTGTTGAGCTTTCAGTAACTGCAAACCATTGCTCTTTTTCTCTAATAATATATCCCACCATTGATTTTCCAACACTGAATTCTTTACAACCTCCTCATACTAATACGTTTACTTGGATTGTTTATTGGGTAAGTTACTCTCAAGTCGAGACGTTCTTTCCTGTGTTCAATTAAGAAAATTCAGCAGTCAACGTTATATTTATTGCTAAATCATTATAACGTTTTTACAATAACGGTGTTTATGATAGTCACATTGTTTACGATCATTGGGTAATTAATTGTATAAAGATTATCGTTCAACAATCACGTGGTCAGACTTATCGAGAGTGCTCTGTGATGGTAGTTTTGGAGATTAAAAAACCATACCGCAAACAACAGCAGATTATGTAAACCATATTGTTGAGGTTGTGAAAGATCGAGTACATCAGAATTAAATAAACTCAATGTTATGACAACGGAAAAGGCTTTCAATACTCAGATCTTAACTCCATATTCTTTAAGAATTGAATGGTTTACAAAGTATCAGCATTTTCTCTTTGAAGTAGCTAATCCTGGAGTTGTCAGAGGCTGATGGTGCTTTTACTGAATTTAATTTGTTAAAAACTAAAAAGCAAGCGTTTCCGAAATTAAATCCTTTTCAATTCTAGTAGTAATACCTCCTCTTTTGGATTGCAAAAAGCAAGAATATCTTCATCCATTTATTACCAGGCGGTCAATAACTAACAAGTTGGTCCCACGTGCTCTTACTGTTTAGTTTTATGATAATTTAGTATCTAATTGGTTGATTTATCTGATCAACAAATACGTATTAGTATGGATGAGTGTGTCTAAATGACGTTTTCACTCGTATCTACTCTTCGTCCGTTCAAGACTTCTGTTGCTCTTTCATATCCCTTTATAAATCACCATGCATACACAAGAAACTCACATTCAAAACAACACAAAGAATCAATTCCGCTTCAACTTGCATATACAGAATATCTCCCGCGACGCCCGCAAACGTCAGAAGATTCACCACCTGTTATTATATTGCATGGATTATTTGGATCAAAGCAGAATTGGAAGTCTCTTGCAAAGTCCTTTACGCAGAGTTTGAATACAAAAGTCTACGCAGTGGTAAAACAAGGAGAGATTAGATCCTGAAGATAGAATCGGGTTGGTTGATTAAATTAGTTCATTGGTCTTTTTGTAGGATTTGAGAAATCATGGGGAAAGTCCACATTCTTCGGTTCATACATATGAATCAATGGCTATGATGTGGCGGAGTTTATCGTTCAACAAAAGCTCGATAGATCAGTACTTTTGGGCCACTCAATGTGAACATCTTATTTTATTTTTTCACGTTTCCACTGGCTTGTCCCATCTCACTTTTTTAATATAACTTAGGGGTGGGAAAGTAGTAATGACCCTCGCTCTTCTCCAATACCCACAAGTCTCCCAAGTAATTGTAGTCGATAGCGCTCCCGTAAACTTCCGTCTGTCATCCAATTTTTCATCATACATTGCAGCGATGAAAAAGGTAGACGCGGCCAATGTTTCCAAACAAAGTTTTGCTAACGAAATTTTGGAAGAGGATATAAAGGTACGGCTAATTATACTTAATCGAAGGAAAGATGTAAGAACATGGTTGTAATTGTTTGCAGACTCAAGGCATCTCAATTATACTTCTAAGGATATTACAGTAAGACAGTTTTTATTAACAAACTTGACGAAAGATTCGCAAACCGGATTGTACAAGTGGAGAATACCGCTCGATACGTTAGAGGATGCGCTTAATGACTTGGGAGGATTTCCGTTTGAATCTGCTCATCACACCTTTAAGAAAAAGGCCTTGTTTATAACTGGAACCAGATCTAATTATGTACCGCCTAAGGTATGAGTGACAAGCGAAGAGAACGATTTCTGTCACCCGACATAAACTTTGTGGCATGATTTATTACAATAGGTGTACCCAACGATCAGGTCGTTTTTCCCGAATGCTGTTTTCGCAGAGCTGGATGCGGGACATTGGGGTGAGTTTACGTTATGATATTCTTTGCTCTCATTTCTCTTACTATGTTTTCGTTCTGCATTTTCATATAGTACACGCAGAAAAGCCACATGAATTTACCGCGATTGTATCAGATTTCATAAAAAGTAACACGGCTGCTTAACATTCTACGGCCCGTGAATATGTTGGCGTTACCTAGACAAGAGTAATGCACATCTATAATATCTGCGGTTGTATTAAAAAGAATTTTTACCGTATCATTGAGAATGTAAATGTGGTCAAAATTGAAGACAAAAAACATTAAACAATGTAGGTTGGCATGGCCGATACAACCACATGTAATGACGTATATTATAGCGATAATCGTGTTTAAAGCTTATAAAGCTGATAATTTACCAGATCCGAAATTCCTTCGACCGATTTGTTATTGCTGTTTAGGTTCGGCGAAAGTTGTTCCTGTGTTGC